AGTTACTGTCTTCTGCCATTTTGGAGAGTTTCACATCGCATACACACTCTTTACCCTAAGTGTAAACAACGCTGATTACGTTCATGCACGTGCTTTCCCCTCTAACGTAAACAATGCCGATTACGTTCTTGGGTACTCTCCAAAATGGCAGAAGACTTAACTCAGGGGAGAAGAATTGTTAAATAAATTGTTATTTTTGTTTTCTTTGTGCACAAAAAGTGTTCTCGTAGCTTTGCAAAATTGAAGTTGAGCCACTGATGTCACATGGACTGTTTTACCGATGTCCTTGCTACGTTTCTGTCTGGGAACATTACAGTTGCGTTGCTGTCTATGGAGGGTCAGAGAGCTCTCAGATTCCATCAAAAATATCTTAATTTGTGTTCCGAAGATGAACGAAGGTCTTATGGGTTTTGAACGACATGAGGGTGAGTAATTAATGACAGAATTTTCATTTTGGGGTGAACTAACCCTTTAATGCTGAGGGCTGTTGGCGTACACTTAGAAATTTTCACAGTTTGTTAGACTGAGTACATTGTGGCAATTTCCTGTCAGATGAAAAGCGGCAGAAGGAAGACACTGATCAAGATGGATCATCTAATGAGCGCAGCATTGATGAATGGCTCTCCAGAAGAGAGAAGAAACTGGCTGCTTTGACATCAGGAAGGTACTTAATGCAGGATACTGCACAGAGTGATGATTTGAAAAGGCTGGAATGTTTCTAATAAGTGTTTCATTCACTAAGATGGGTTTAGTTACTTATTATTTTGACTTTGATGTTGACAAATGATCACTTTTCTTACTCGCATGGAACTCACAATTCACATTCTACCATGAATGTTTGTGCTTATGTTACCCATTGTTTGGGGTTTAGTATTATACCAATTGCTGATACACTTTTTTTGTCTAAAACACCCAAATTTATGTTATGATTGAATATGTTGCTTGACTTAATGGATGAAGAATTCCAGCTACTATGGTGCAAGTGTGTTTCAGAGAATTCAAAATGCATGAAAAATCTTGTTTTAGAGGTCACCCTGACACACATTAAAATGAGATGCCTGCCGCCTACAGCTGTGTCATTTGCATAATTACCCGCATATAGGTTCCAGTGGTAGAGAAAACACACATATGCTCTTGAGCTCAGCAGTGACCTGTTACTCCTTTTATTTTCAGAGTTTTAAAGATTGAAGAGGAAGAATGTGCTGAAAACATTGAGATACCTCCGTATTTGCTGTCTATTCCAGATCTTCCTCCATCTCTTCATCCCCCACCAACTGGTGGTTGGAGAGTGACACTACACAATGAATGGGGTTGAAATGTCATTTATAACTTTTATTAAAAAAATTATTTTTTTTATAACCTTTTTTATTATTTCTTTTTTTTAAAGACCATGCTGCTAACTATAATCATTACGAAGCCTTTTTATGCAAATCTTTAAAGGAATATTTCACACAAAAATAAAAGAATTGCTGAACATTTACTGTCCAAGATGTAGATAATTTGTTCCTTGTAATGTAATTTCTCCAAATCTATTCCATTACTTGCTGAGCACTAGATCCTCTGCAGTGAATAAGTGTGATCCATTGGTGAGCAAGTAATGCTAAATTTCTCCAAATCTGACCAGATGAAGAAACAAACTCATCTACATCTTGAATGGCTTGAGGGTGAGTAAATTTTCTGATAATTTTCCTTTTTTGGATGAAACTATTTCTTAAAGGGAGAACAATATGCACATTTGTATCAAATTGTAAAGCAGTGCAAGTTGAGGTGCATGGTGAAAAAATGCAATGAACTTGTATGGCTTGAACAGAAATCATGTTTTGCATGAATAAACAAGTTTACTTTGTGGACCGTTCATGGGAATATTTTGAATAAATCCATAATGTGGAGTTGTAATTTGTCTGTCCGGAAAAGAACACAGTGTTATTTTTCCTTAAAAGGTAGGAGTTAACATAATTGATTGTTTTTATTTGGTTGTCTATCAAGAAGATGACAGTGTTCCCAAGCTGAACGTTGGAGAGACTATGGAGAGAGTTATTGTTTTTGTCTGCCTTCTGTGTCAGTGTTTTAGATTGAAATTCAGATGAGTGTTTTCAATTTAGTTCTGATTGCTTGTTGCAGGAATGTTTTGTACTGTTGGCTTGCATGGCCTTAGTGAATTCCTCTTGTCTGCACTGATGCATGTTACACTTGACTGGGATGCATTGCATTTACTGGCCTGGTGATGAAAGTTCTTATGCGTTAGAGAAAGATTTGACAAATTAGTTGTCTAAAAGCCTCTGTGTCACTGCTAGATACTTTTTCCTGGTCTAGTTGAGTTTAGTAACTTAATACCAGCATCAGTTATCAGGTATATACAGCTCATGGAATAATTAAAAACAAAAATTGTTAGAAGACCCATTCCACCAAAGCATTTATTTTATATGCATACTTGTGTGTAAATATGACCAAATAAATTCAGCCAAACCAGCATCCTTTTTTGAAGTGCTGCTTACTGTAGTAATGTGTATAATGTAAAAAACAAACAAACAAAATTACAAGGAGAAAGACCAAAGAAGAAGCACCAGTTTTAATTAATTTGTTCACATGGTACAATTAATTGTAACATCAGCACATTTTGGCACATCATAGATTCAGGGTTGTTTTCTAGGGCTACACTGATGCAATATAAAGTTACATACATCAGTTGGATATATTACTGTTACATCACTACATTAATATAATTAAGTGAGCTAATTTGTAACTGCCAACGTGTATTAGCCATTATGTAGTTGAATGTAATCGATGTAATTTAAGTAAATGTTCTGTAATATTTCCATGTGGAATAAGATGAATTTATATAAAGAAATATTGGAAAAATACAAAAATAAAACTATTTTTCATATAATTTTACCCACTTATTACTCTGACTGAAAAAACATATTGCCATGTTAAATAATAATACCCCTATTAGTGTGTAAAAACAATTTGCACTGCAGATCACATGCTTGAGCTTTGGAAATCTAAAGCGTGATATGTTGCTGATGTCCTGAAATCAGTATATCTCAATTTGTATAGATATAGATATATAAATCGTAACTTTAATTCACAGTAAATTGTCATCAAATAAGCATAGATTGCATATTTTAACAACAAAGGCTGACCTTGACATTACACAATACAACATGTCAGAAAATTACAAATACATGCAACTGCAAAGAAACAGGTTTTCATCATGTCAGCATTTACCTTCGTGATCAGAAGTCAGAATGTTGGATTTTGCTGACTACAAATAACAGAAATACCTTCTGTGATGTATAATATTATTAATACTATGAAAAAAAGTCTTAAGTTGTAAATTGATATGTTTCACCCTACAGCCTCATAAAACCAATGCTACACTTTCATTACAGTCCTATGCAGTTGCAGATCCATTTAAATACTTAGTCATAACAGACTTAACGTACATTATTGTTTTCCCAAATGAAGTCAGAGAAATGTTAATGAACTTATTTGTATCAGTTAAGTGTCATCTGTGATATAGCACAAACACATGTGAATTAAATACTGGGAAAGTGCACAAAAATATTGACTTTGGACTTCAAACCTAAGACACAGAACAACAACATCCAATTAACTGTTCAGGCACTGAGATTACTGACAAATGCATAAATTACAGATAGATGCTGGATGCATACATTTATTTCAGAGTATGCAAAAATATTGCTTGTTACCATTAGCTCGCCACAAACTTGTTAACTTCAAAATAATACTTTTGAATAACATGCACTGGTTCATTCCCTTTGAGTCATGCTATGAATACATAAACGTGAAGCAACTGTATGTAATTTTGTGTATTTTTGCAACTTTGGAGCCTCCTGCAGTTAAGTGAGTGGAATTCACTTTCCTAATTACACTGGAAAGCTGTACACATGCATTTGTAAAGCAATCCACCCTTTTCGCAGAAATTTGAACTCGCTCACTCCCAGAACAGACCTATGAGGGGAGAGTTTAAAAGACATGCAGTTGCTTTAAAAGCAATGGAAATCTTAAACTTAACCTGTAATTTTCCAGTTGACCAGGATAATGTGGACACAAACTCAGTTAAACGTAAACGATGAGAGAACGTTAATGTCATGACTTAAAAATTAAGAATTTACCATTATACAGATCGCAATACCCCAGAACAATGAAATCCACAAGTTGTTAAAGAAAATAATGATAATATTGATACAGACTGATTATTCACTGACAACACTGATGTTATCAAAATGCTAGGCAACACTTCATGCAAATATGTAATCATATGTATTAACACTCAGAACAATTATATTGCAGGATATCGACAAAAACATTTAGTCTCACGTGGCACACTATACGAATAGCCAGTAATATTCCTCACACAACCAGCAGACAATTTAATAAAAGACCTGACAACAAACAATCCTGAGAGTCAAGACTGGAAGAAATAATGTTTTTAAGTTAACAAAAGACAATTGCACAGGTTAGATTCAGTAACACTTTGGATTGTCACCAAATGTATACTCTACTTTCCATCACAGTTTATTACTGGTAAATTTCTAGTACATTCATTTTCTTTTTGAATTGCTCTAAGCCTAACTACTCATGGTGACTTAGACTTGGTGTTGACAAATTTGTTTATTCCCTCTTTTCATTCTGTATCCACGAGTATCCCCAAAGGTCAAACCGGTGATGTTTGAGACCATGTTGGTGAAAAAAATCTCGGATCTACTGGATCTAAAACTGTGTAACATACATGACCCAGTCACACAACATTGTTACAAAATGGGGAAATCGTTTTGTCAATGTCATTGTGTCATGTTATATAATGACCCTGACATGATATTGATATAAAGTGGATTACAACTATACAACACAATACATTATAATAGATGTCTACTTTGTAACATAAGCCTAAGAAAAACTATAATATTTTATAGGAGAATGATCATTAATATAGTATAATGATAAAGACACTTTTAAACTATGTTGTTTTGGGCTAAATTATTATTTTGTCTGTCTAACAACAGTCTGTCTTTACCTTGAGTTTATAGTAGAACGAAAGTGCAGCCTTTGGTGTTTCTGTAAAACAGTGATCATTAGAAACTAGTAGAATTAGTGGATTTTTTTGCATTTTTATCTTGTTTCCTTTTGTCAGTCATTCATTGTCTTAGAAACAGAACTGTTTATTTCATTCCTCTTCGAAGCATCTGATTGGCTGCGATGAGCATGACGCTGATGATGAATGCAATGGCGAAGGCACAAATCAAGCTCTTGCGCACACAGGTGTGCTTGACTTGTTGCATGGGACTTGCTTTGAGGACAAATTGAAGAAAATGCAAGAGAAAGGTTATTGTAGATACTGCATTTTTCAAATAGACATATTTATACAACATCAGTTGTCAAATCTGATTGGTCAGGTAGCATTAAAAGAGTCCAACAACTCTAGTAATTTTCACTGTTTGTATTACTTCATTTGTCTGTATTTATGTGTTTCAGTCTGTTTTTTAATAGCGGAGACTATTCAGTGACTCTTTCTGCAGGTTACATAGTTTCACCAGTAGGTGGCGACAAGTGAGTGTCCTTATGAGGGAGTCAATGAATCATTCATTCAACCGATTCGCACAAAAGCACAGATTCAATCAATAATGAAACAAGCACCTGTCTTATGAGTGAGTCATTGAATCACTCATTCAACCTATTTGCACAAAAGCACCGATTCAATCAGTAATGAAACGAACACCTGTCTTATAAGCAGTGTTGGGGAAAGTTACTTTTAAAAGTAATGCATTACAATATTGCGTTACTCCATAAAAAAGTAACTAATAAATAAATTATTTGAAAAAAGTAACTCAGATATTCTCTTGTAAATTAAAAAGTAATGCGTTACTTTACTAGTTACTTGAAAAAAGTAATCTGATTACGTAACTCGCGTTACTTATAATGCGTTACCCCCAACACTGCTTATAAGTGAGTCATTGAATCATTCATTCAATCAATTCGTTCTAAAACTTTGATTCATTCAGGAACAAAACAAGCGACTTTATGGGTGAGAATTTAAATAATTTACTCAATAATGATTCATTCAAAAAACGCTTATTAAGTTAGAAACCAAACACGACTACTGTGTTTTGCTCGGAGTTGTCACAGTCCTGTTGTGGATCCATTTGAAAATACTGTATATCATTGGCGTTGCAAAGCAGAACTGCCAATATTGTGTCTAAAATGTAATTTACTCAATATTAACCTTTTGTATAAAAGTAACCACACTCACATTTGTACTGTAATTTTCCAGCTGCTGCAGCTGATAGAACAACAGCACTCGTGCTTGTGTGATATTGCATACTTTTTTTTTCTTTTGGAAAGACAAACATTACATTTCTTAACTTTCTCCTCAAGTGTGTTTTAGTGTTTTTTTGTTTTGTTTTTTTGCTTCAATTCGGCACAATATGTGTATAAGCTTCTTACGAAAGGGAATAAAAACTTGCCAGTGGCTGGTATTCAGAAAAAGATATTTTCTACCAAAGAGTATGAGGTATTCAAGTGCTCATCAGTATTGCAGATACATTCCCCACTGTCCTGCTTCAAACAGATTCATGAGCTCCTTTATTTCCCCAGGACTATCAACAGAATATGTTTCAGCTAAAAATAGACAATTTTCTACACTGCAGCAATGGCCTCTGTGTCTTGGGTTTTTAATGGAGTTGACAGACAATTTTGATTGACACGATAATGCCCAGGCACTTCATAATGAAACGGATGCGTGGGCACACACAGGGAGCGAATATGCTAGAGACAAACAGCTAAGGTCAATGTATCATGTTTGTCACAATTTTGTTATCATTTTTTGCTTTGCTGTTGAGAATTGTTAGTGTATGAAGACTTACTGTCAATATCTACTTGGCACTCGGGGCTGTTTAAGTGACTCTCCTCAGTCATGATGATGTTCTCGATGTCTTTCATAGTCAGATGGTCACAGAAGGTGTCATACAGGAGTCTCTTCAGCTCATCCACAGTCAGCTTTTGCATGTCACACTAATGACACAAGGAGAATGGAGAGTAATATTGACCTTTTCATTAAAGGAACAATGTTCAAAATGCCTAATATCCCTGTAAATGATGATATAACTGCTATAAATGATCAGCGGCTAATGCACAGATGAGTTATACGAAATAGCACATTTAAGAGACTATTGCCTTCTAATGGACTGAAACGGCACTTTCAACATTAATTTTAATTCAAAGCTATTACTACCAAAGAAATGTCAGCAAGTTAATTGCAGAGTGTGAATAATGTATGAATAATCTTCTTTTCCACCAGTAATCACAGGGAGTCACAGAACAATGGGACAAAGTAAAGCTGAAGCCAGACAGAACTAATCATTGAGACTATGGGGGGAAATAATTGAGATTATTTCAAAGAAAACCTCCTCACCTTCCAGAATATGGAATCAAACTCGGCTCCATGGAATCTGTCAGGCATACCAGCTGAAGAGAGTTTTGGTCCGAGAAGTGCTACGAACTCTTCAAAGTCAACTTGACCGTCACCTGCGAAATAAAAGATACCAAAACACAGGCCAGCTTCACTGTAACCTTTTCTTGTGGGAGATTGTAATCTTACGCTGATCGAGCAGAACAGCCAGACTTTAATCTTCTGAATCGTTATCAGGAACATCAGTCCTTTGTTCAATGATTCACAATAACCATTACAATATTGAATTGTTTTGCTGTTGCAGTTGTTTTATATTGAATTTGCAATTCCACCATACCTCTCTGATAAATGTTCCCATAGCAGGGCTTAGATGCAATCAAAGCGAGACAAATTAATAGTGATCTAGAGAATATCACACAATTTAACAACATATGTTATGTGCTAAAATACACAGAGCATGTGTGTCCAGAAATGTGAATGTTTCTGTAGTTTTTGCGAGTGCTGATATACCATCCATGTCCAGTCTCTGAATGATCACCTCCAGCTCCACTTCATTTGGCATGTAACCAAGAGACCGCATGGCCACTCCTAGCTCCTGTTTTGAGATGAATCCGTTCCCATCACGGTCAAACACCTTAAAGGCTTCACGGATCTCTACAGATGGGCCAGATACATTGCCAGGCTACAACATACAATGCTGCAAACATTTTTAATGCTAAACATGACAACATTATCTATATCAGTATGCTTGATTGGAAAGTTGGACCACTTTGTGGATAAATAAGTGCCATGATTGATTGCCTTTTAAATATCAGGAGACAATCAAATAAAACATTATTAATAACTGTCATTAAAAGTCATTAATAACTGTCACAAGGAAATGCATTTTCATTCTGAAATTATTTTAATTTGCCAAGCCATATTTTCATTAACAATGATATTATGTGATATATATACAGTATTTTATATATATATATATATATATATATATATATATATATAAAATTGTATGTAATTAATTGTGAAAGTCTGTTAGCTTTAACATATTAGATAATGGGGTACACTTTTATCATTATATGTTTCTGAGCTAACATAGAGTGTCATACGGCCTATGGTAGCTAACGCATAGACATGAGATTACATATGGTATCTGATTGTTTTATTCTGACATGTCTCTTTTTTATATATATAAAAAAGAATACGCTCTAAAGAAATTCCCCACATCACTATATAATTAAGAGGCAGGCCTTTATCTCTCAGGAACTGAATGAGTGTCAGCTAGGTCTGTGTATCACATGAATGTACATACATATTGGAAAGATTGTACACAGAAACAGTATGCATAACATCAATCAATCAATCAATCAATCAATCAATCACTAAACAAAATTATGGCATTTAATCTATGTAGTTCCACAAAAAATTTTTTTTCAAGACTGTTGTATATGGTGCAAGCATCTATTAAAATTATTATCAATTCATGTAATTTACATGTGTTTTTTAAATGTGTCTTTGATTTTATATTATTTTTAATTTTTGAATGTAATACTAATTTAGATATGAACGCTTGCCTTCACCGTTCTTATTGTAAGCTTGAACTCTATTATAGATTTAATCTGAAGGCGTTTGTTCATACATTCATATCAAAACCAACACATCAAATATTTATTTATTTATTCCAATTATTTGCCGACCATTGTTAATAGTCAGTAGTGTATAGGAAAAAAACAAGCAGTTTCTTCATAGTGGACAGTAGAGGCTGCCGCAGGGCGCTCTCCATGGTGCTGAAATCTACTGGCAGCACTATCGCCACTGATAACGTCTCTCTTCAACTCACAATGAAATATCACTTACCCTCCACTTCATCCTCGGGGAGGCTGACGGGAGTCCTGTAGGAGAGGATATCTGGAATTGAGCAAAGTCCCCTGTACATGAACCTGGAAGTCACAGCACGCACTGGCATTTCTGCGAGGGCAAATTAACGCTTGTGACCTGTTCTTCATATAGCACCTGTAGTTCGGCCACTGCAACTTTACTACAGAGCGCTTTCTGGTATCTCAAAACCAATAATCAAAACGTGTGTCTGATTCTTCTGCATCTTGTCTTATTGTGGTCCAAGTGCGATTAGTCACTCTGCACACTCATGCATGGAATGATCATTCATTCGATCGATTGCGGATTGCTTTGCATCAGGTGCAAAAACTATTGCCTTGAAAACTTGAATTCAAACATTCAAGTATTGCCATTCAGACGGAGCTTGTATGGTACAGGCACGCGTATATTGCTGGAAATGTCCCCGTGTTCTGTACATCTTCAACTGGGTTTGAAGGATAAACGTAGAGCATCCCAACGCCTGTTCAAAAACAACGTGCCGCCAGCTCTCCTTGAGATTACGGTGGTTCCATTAGCTTATATTCACCGGGTACAAATGTGCACGATGCGCACAAAAACCTTCGTTCGAGTGCAAAAAATCCCGAATTGTGTCACATTATACTAATGCGTTTACCTCCTGGGCATCACCGCCTCCCTCACGCGCTTGATGCAATCCTACAGGTAGTCGAACGGTCTCGAGTTGTACAAATTAGAATATGTTGAAGCATTCCAATCACCAAGATGTCTAACATTTTAATTTTTTTTTTGTACATTAAGGTACATCGGAGAAAATGTGGCATGCTCATAAGTAAATGACAAAGCACACGAGAAACATATAGGTCCTCCGTTACAGAACGACAAACAACGTGTTCGTTTACTAGAAATGGCTGCTGGTAATTGATTTGCGCAAACTCGAGATGCTAAACAGAAATCCAAGAAATCAGTGCTCCACTGCTTCCTCTGTGAGGTCTGATCCACGAATGCGCGAGCGCCTGCTGCGTGTCCCTTCAGACAAAGTCACGGTCTGCGCGCGCTCAAACGCGCATAACATACCAAAGGCCGCTTTTAATCAAACTCTTTCAGTTTTTCCAAAAGTAATTATCTTTAATTTTGTTGTTTGTCGGTAACTCAATGAGTGTGACCTGAGCTGCATAAGTAAGCTCAGATCAGTGTATGTTTAGGATTTCTATATCTCTATGGATGCGCATGGGGCCTTATCGTTTAATCGTTTAAATCCCTTTTACTACATTTTACAATGTTACGTGTGCAAGTTGTAATTTATTTGAAGAACATCATTAAATATTAGGTCTACTGTAAAAACGTTCCTGTATTAAACTATAAAACGGTTCTAATAACTCTCTGTCTCAGTTGCGTGTTTGAAACGCCTACGAATTTTCAAACGCGATAGGTAAAATGTGTATATGTCCGTTTTGGCTTTCCGTGGTCCAGCTCACGCTGCATACAGGTGAGTGTTTCAGTTTTGTTTATAAGTTACGAGGCTGTTGTTGAAGTGGATGCTTCTGAGGAAAAAAATTGCTGGATTTGTCAGTGCTTTGGCTTTGTTTTCAGAGTTATATCTCTGTTATTGCATCTAGATGAACCAAAGTTAACAAAGTTTCCAAAGTTACTTTCGGTGTCGTCTTCAATAAATGAATTTGGCTTTCACTCTGGGGCAGAATAAAGCACTAGAAGTTATAAAAAATAGGTCAAATGTGGCTTGCAAAACGATGCTTGATTTATAAAGCAGAACTACAGCTCTGAATGATTTCAGTTGAGGTAAAATTAACAGGCATGAAAATAGGCAATGCAAGTGCTGTGTTTCTTCCCTTTTAACTGCACAAGAAGGTCAGATATTTTTAAAAGATATGTGTTTGTGTATACTTATGTATTATCAACCCAACCTTTAAATTAAGAGAAATGCTGCACAAGTCATCTTTCCTTGAATATGTTGTTTTGCTTGTGTTGAAGGCTTGCAGCAGCTCATTATTAAGAATATTCAGAATGTGCCGCCCTGTCTAAGCTTTCAGCTTGTGCTGTTGGACTGTTTGACAGCTTGTCTCAGAACTGATCTCTCTCTGCTGCACCTGACTCTTTCCCCATGTCTCTCAAGTCAAATGTCTGTCTGACAACTGCCATTAGGAAATCTGGAAGCAGTTAGCATGCGTTTGAATATGGCGAAGTTTTTCTTCACTGCTCTAACTTAGAAACTTGCCATTTAGCTGTCACTTTTTAATCCAAGTTGATTTATCCACACTAATTCCAGATCAATGTCTTATAACGACCTGAGGTTACGTGCCTTGGTCAAGGGCACAGTAACAGTGGGATTACTGATTTTAAGATGGTTTCTGTAGTGGTCGAAAATCTAAAACTTTGAAAAAACAAAGTTTTTCACTCCTAGTAGAGTTGCATGTATTGATTTTGTTTAATTGCAAGTGACGTGGTTTGTGTTTTAATTCACAGCCTCTTTGAAATCTCTTAAGCTCTTTCACCCTATAGTCTTCAGTCCTCTCAGAACTGTCTGATAATGGTGGCAAACTGGATCAAGCGAAAGGCAGAATATCATGACTGGAATGGAAGAGACTGTTCTGATGCTCTGTACTTTGTCACAGTTACTTCTGATTGTACTAAAATGATGTAGCGAAACATTAGCTCATGTCTTTTTCTGATAGATTGGCACTTGTTGACAATTTTGCTTGCATCAGAGAAAAAACATCATTGATTATACAAAGCAGTACCATATTTCACAGCATGAAAAATGTAATCTGTTAAACTAACAGAGCAGAGAGAGATACTTCAAAACCTCATAAATGCAACCTGCATTGCATTGTAACCGTTTACTGTCCCAAACACTTTTGGGAATATTGATTGTGTCTGTAATTGCCTAGAGAGGCATTTACACGGATGACTGTTCATTGGTGCCTTTTCTTTTTTTAATAGATATCCACATGTGTTCAGAATATAATCAGTTTATCAAGAGAGAAAACAGCTTAGGGTCTACTGAGCAGAGGGTGTCTATAATATATGGTAAAACTGGACTAATTGGCACATGTATGGTACTACATGTGATGTATATTTTGATATAAACTTAATTCTTACATTTTAATCAAATGCATTTTTATATTGGTCACCTTAAAATTTTCATGCAGAGCGAAAATGAAATTTAAGCATTGCTGTATGTCATGAACTGACCCTAGAGTATAAAAATAATTTGTGTCTCTCCTTGTACCTCCTATTCTGGTCTAATGTCTTTTGTCAACAAAATTTGAATGTATTTCTCTAAATTAAATTTCCTACTACAAACGGCATATTTGCTTGAGATTTATGACTTAGATAGTGTCATGTAGAGGGCAATGATTCATTTCAACCCAGTAATGATTTGGGTTATATCAAACAAAGGCTACTCAGATAAATTAACCAATTAAAGAGGCTCAGCGAGTCTTGATAATGTGAAATATGCTCTTATAATTTAAGCTCCATGGTAGTTTGACCTGATTCTGCTGGATTATTCAGGTTGAGTTGGGTCTCCAAATAATTATCATGTTAAATTTGTTTTCTCAATTGATCACAGCTAAAATAAACTCACAAATATATACATATTTTTTCAACCTGTTTTATGGACACTTTAACTGTTCACATAATTCATCAGCCCACCTCAGTATAATAAGGTAATTTAAATGATTCCTAAATATGCAGAAATCACTCAGGAAGCAAGGTGTTTTATTTAGAAATGTATTTTGCATGAGATTCCTGATGAATGAATCAAGTTTCCAACTAATGTGCTCAGCTAAAGATATTTATGCCTCCCAGGTGAGCAGAACTATGACATAATGCAAATAAGTCTCCAATCAGTCATAGCATGAAATCAGTCTGACATATTAAAATAAGAAATGTTCGTCATTTCGTCACGCCCCCTTATCTTCAGGATATTGTGAATATTTTATTAAAGGTCAATCAGGTCATACATTCCTATTACATCATTCCTAAACAATAGTAACTTTCTTTGTATTACACTTAACAGTACAGGAAAAACACTAACCTGATTTGAACTTGAAATTAGCTGACGATCACTCTAAATAGTTTTTTAGTAAATAATCAACTTTTATGTTTCATTTGTTTTTGAACAACTAAAATATGTCTTGGCTGTATATGAAAATGCAGAAAAACACTTTGAAATAATTTCCGCCCCCAGTCTCTCCATTCTAAGTGCTCAACAATGACTGTTGACTGGACTAATCTGAAACTCAAGAGGAATTTCTCTATAAGAGTTTCATTATTTAACTGCCCTAGTCTTTATTGGAGACAACATCAAGTAAACCATAAGAAGATTGTGTTGGCGGGTGAAATTGTTTCTGTCATCATTATAAGCACTCCTGCCTCATTGCAGATATTACAGCTTGGATGTCGTCCTTGAACGTCCTTGTTTACTGTGGGCTCTGTGTTTTGCTCACATGAGTTCTGAGGTCCTACAGGACCCCCACAGTCTGTAAATGTCCTCATGATGCAATTAGAACTCTTCAACTGTTACAATCATTTATTTAGAGTTGGTGGAGCTGGTGTACAGTTCTCATCAAGCTGATCATCTAAGATTGGCCTTGACTTTGATTCAGCCTCATCTAATCTCTCTACACATCTGGTGTAACCACTCACTGCTGGCATCGTTATTTGATTTCATTAGTGCCCTCTCATTTACATGTGGAAGGGGACAACTAAGCTTTACAACTGAGTAAATAAATTATTTAGCTTGATTGAAAACAAGCACCTCAGATATGCTTTATATTTCTGACTATTTTTTAAATAGACCCTTTTCACATTTCCAGGGTTCTAAGAAGCGGAAGGTGAACGGAAACTTCAACGACTATATTTTTTGCTCATTTGCCCCAATAGCAAAACAAAAAAACCTTTCTATGACGTTTCGAAAAGAGAAAAAAATCAAGAGATTGATTATGTTGGTCAAAAGAGGGGAAAGATTTGCCATCATTCCCTCCCATTGTATTAGAAATGCTAATAAGAATAGAATAAATATAAAAAAAACTTCAACACAGTCTGTGTAAAGGGCCCATAGCTATATTAAATGAGACAGAACAGCCTGTAATATAAAGTGCAGTCAATGATCGGTAAATTTGTAGTTCATTGTTAAGTGTATTTGTTGTGGCATTCTGATTAGAATATTAAACTTGTGGCATATTATAAATACTGTAGATGCAATGATTTAAATTGCAAATTTAAGATGTTTTTCAAAATGTGGCATTGATTTTAGCATATAAAACAAGTCAAGCATTTATGTGAAAGATAAACAAAGGCACAAAAGATTAGCAATGCCTAGAGCTGCCACAGTGAAAGCGATCCATTGTTTATAGAGTGAAAACTCATATAATCAGTGTGGCATTGGTGATGTATGGCACAGTGTCCTCCACAAATGAATCACTTCAAAGCAATTCTCTCCTCCTGCTCTCCTGGTGTCCTATCAGGACGGCGTGAAATACCATGCCCTAAAAGTCCTCAGTGTCCCTCAGTTCAATTCATGTTGGATGATAGCTGTACCAGCCGGGGCACAATATGCACCACCCTAGAGAGGACTGGACATATTGACTGTTGTG